AGAGGGGGGCTATGGGACCAACTCAGCTTTAGACCATATTTGGAATATTACAATCACACGACATGTGGTAGAATGAATCGACTATCTCATCTATTTGCCATTTGTCTATTTGCCATCTGTCATGTTTTGAAGAAAGTATATCAACGGCCAAAAAGGTGAGGAGGTCCCATATGATTTATTTCTTGATACCAAATAATATTCAGCAATCAGTGCGATATTTGATAATTGACCCATTTTTCTGGCACTCAAGAGTGCAAAAGCACAACATAGTAGTAAAATGCTCTTAGTGCTGGCATAAATAGCATTTACCAATAGGGGAAAGCTTGATGATTCAATCTCTGCGAGCAATATTAAGCCATGCCAATCGAAAGCTCATATGCCAATCGAAAGTTTTAAGAATATATGGTGCACATACCAATAATTGCTTCCAGTTCCAGAGCAATAATTCATTTTCCATGTGCTAAACATAACACGACAAGTGGTTTAAAATTGATCATCAAAAGGATCAAATCCGCTCTGATGATACACACAGCATTTATCAACTCAACAAGTGGAACATGTGAACAAAAATGGAGCTAATAGAAGTAACACACAGAAGCGACAAGTCTAGCAGTTTTTTTGGTGCATCCGTTGCATGATGTTATGCAGGCCCTACAGTATTCATCTCTGCTCAAACAAATCAAACGAAATTCTGAAGGAAATGCCACCTCCACCAAATAGGTAAAAACAAAGGCATTTTGAACAATATCTAATGCTGTAGCTTGCGACAAGTGGGTAAACCTTACTCTGCCATCTCAACGACAGACTATAAGGTTTTGAACAATATCTACATGGCTTTCAGTTTGGCCAAAGGCATGTGAAACAATTGCCCATGCAACTACTTGCGGCCCAAGAAATCCTTTTCCCATAGATTCACAACACCAATCATCGAGGTAATCAAATTCAGTCCCAAATCATAAGAGACAGAAATAAAAGTGTGCGTGACATTAAACATTACCAGATCAGGTGAAATGGAGAAGAGACTGCTGGTATTTCAGCTTTGCTTCTCCTCTCAGGTCCTAAAAAAACAGACGGAAGGGTTTCCGTTTTGTACTGACTGCATGTTTAAGTCAATAAATATATACAGACACATGAGCAAAACTCTATTTTTGAAGCAAAGTTTCAGTGCTGCAAGCATCCAAGCGCTAAAAAAGTCATCAACGTACAAGTAACTCTTCATACATGGAACTCTAAAGGACGTGCCACCTTCAAGGACCAGCCTAGTGACCTAAATAGTCGAATAATAATAAATTTATCCCCATAAATGGGAATGCTAAATCTGTGATTACGCGATTTGAACTAGAAACCAAACTGGGGTAACCAAAACGAGCACACCAACAATACACTACACATGTAGGAGTATAATCGTATATTATTATTCGACTGGACAGGAACAGATGGGAAGAGAAGTTGGCGGAGGAGCATATGCTTTGTACAGTAAGAAGAAGAGACAAGAAGCCGCCAAGTTTCGCTGAGACTGGTACAACAACAAGTGGCAATACTCTGAAACACCACAGAACAATCTATAGTACATGGATTTCGCAGATGGCATGGGAGAAGTGAGTGGGCGGGTGCTTACGAAGGGAGTGAGGTGGGATTTGAGATGCCCATTTTGCAAGCGTCGGGGGGGAGTGGTAGAAGCGGGAGGAGGTCTCGAGGGCTGGTGACTCCCTCTCTCACGCCCCCAGTGCTCTTCTACAACCGACCGAGCCCAGGATGCTATAGTATAGGGTTTGGGGTACCGGCTGCCTAACCTGCGAAGCGCGGAGCAAGGCGGCAAGGCGAGGCGATGCTCCGGGGTCCTGACTGGTGGGGCGGCTGCGATGTGAATCCGGCGGTGAGGTGGCAGCGGGCGGCGATGTGCCGGGGTCTGGATAGACGGCGGCGGCGGCGAGGGAGACGGTAGCAAAGGGGATTTGGGTTTTCTGTGTAAATCCAGATGTGTAGGGTCGCCGTCGCCGTCGCCGACGAGGGGAGGAGGCAATTGGGCTGGGCCGTTAATTCGTTGGGCTGAGAATGCCCTCTGTCTCTCTCTCTCTCAGGTCCAAGATTTTCAGGCCGCTGGTTCGTTGGTATCTACTGTCCTGATGTTCATTTTCAGGCCCATGATGTCTGTTCTGTGATCAGGCCGGGCCTCATGATCTTCTTATCACTTTACGTTCAGCATCTTGGCGACCAACGGCCTTCTCAGTTCTCAATGATGCTCTCAAGATAACCAGGCTCAGAGCGTCCAGACCTGACAGGATAGCATAAGGGGGTGTTTGGTTACAGGGACTAATTTTTAGTCCCTGTCACATCGGATGTTTGGACACTAATTTAGAGTATTAAATAAATTCTAATTACAAAACTAATTACACAGATGGAGACTAATTTACGAGACGAATCTATTGAGCCTAATCGATTGCATGATTTGACAATGTGGTGCTACGATAAATATGTGCTAATGATGGATTAATTAGATAATTCCAGGTCTCCAGTGTAATTAGTTTTATAATTAACTCATGTTTAATCCTCCTAATTAACATCCGAACGTCCGATGTGACAGGGACTAAAAATTAGTCCCTCGAACCAAACACCCCCTAAATCTGACTTCAGATGCTTCAAGGGGTGTTTGGTTCCCTGGACCAAATTTTAGTCGCTGTCATATCGGATATTTGAACACTAATTTGAAGTATTAAATATAAACTAATTACAAAACTAACTGCACAGATTGAGACTAATTTACAAGACGAATCTATTAAGCCTAATTAGGCTATGATTTGATAATATGGTGCTACAGTAAATATATGCTAACGATGGATTGATTAGGCTTAATAGAATTATCTTGTTAATTAGTCTACTCATGTGTAATTAGTTTTTTAATTAACTCATGTTTAGTCCTCCTAATTAGCATCCGAACGTCCGATGAGACACGGACTAAACTTTACTCCCTGGATCCAAATACCCCCTAAATCTGATAGCTCTAGCACTTCAGGCATTCCCAAGCTAGCAAGTTTCTCAGCTGGTTTGGTGTGAGAGAAAAATATTGTTCTGGCTGGAAATTTATAATCGTTTACGATCAAGCGATCAGGCTGTCTAAAGGTCTGATCATTGGCTCTAAAAATCATCAATTTTGGAACGAATCGACCAATGCATAAAACCTAGGAACACAAACAGCACTTCGGTTTGCAGGAATAATTCCAGAACTGGAGACCAACTTTGTACTTGGTTGGCACATAATACTTGAGGAACGAAAGAAACCAAGTAATTACCTGCTTTCCAGCAAAATAGCGTCCATTTGGAGTGCATAAACATTGCATCGAAGATAGAATGATCCATTTCTACATACGTAACATACTAACTGCAACCGTTTCTATAATTCTATGGGATAAAATGTATACATATAAACCTAAATTTATGACAATTGCAAAGCACTGTTTAAACTCCCAGGGGGAACCATCATTTTTATGACAATTGCCTATCTGATTCGCAGTGGTAAACACCAGTGACAGTGAATGGCTGCCGCTCCACAGCCATTTTTGTTCAAATTTGCATCTAAATTTAACTTAGCCCAACGTAGCCACTAACCAGCGGGAATAGGATTCTGGCGCCCTTTCTGCTAGTACAAAAGAGAAAAACAGAAAGAGGCCTAAGAGTTGATTATCTATGTCAACTGCAAGGTGAATTTAAAATGGCTAAGGCTAAGTCTCCAAAATTTCAGACAGATTCTAGCAAGTAATAACAGTGAATTAATAAAGTGAACCAGTCTCCTCACCTGGAAGCTTAATTAAAATACCAATCAATCATAATCAATTTAACTGCAAACTAAGTCCTATTTTCCGTCACTAAGTGAATCACAGCCCAAAGAAGATATCATAATCCTTCGAGAACAACAATCATGCGAAGTTACAACAAACTGAAGATAATGAGCGTAACAGTAAATGAAGCATTGGCTGAGAGAAATCACATGTTGTCTCAAAGGAGAAGAGACAAAAAAAAAAGAACCTTGAAACTTTGCAAGTTCACCAAATTACATAAACTCTGTATGTATGTCTTGATAAAATTCTTCAATACTTTGTCCAATCTCTTCATATGTGAACTGAACAATGTTAAAGAATTGTTTATTAGGCTGTGTCCAAACAATTGAAGAAAATAAGCATTTCCGTTATTGCTAAGAGTAGGAAATGCAAAAGAGGAAACAGAGAACTAAAAGTAATACCCTAACGGTCAAAGACCATGATATTTAACAGTTATGAGAAAACATAAAAAAGTTCAGCAACATCATCAAGACCATGATAATTTAGGATACATGAGCAGATCAAAGTTCCAGGTGTCCTCAATCAAGTGGAAGCAACTGTCCTTATCACTGTATGCCTCCAGTAGGAGTTCTGAAGAACATGAAAGAACATGCAACCTGTGGCAGGTCTGAGAGTAGAGAGAGTTACGTAGCTCATTGACGACAATTTCACAAGATATTTAATGCATAAGTACTTCTAAACTTATCTTAGCTTGTACTGTTCACCTCTTCATAAGAGGGCGTCACAAAGAAGCTTGACCAGCCTAGCTAATCAGCACCACAGAAACAATGCAAATTGTCGGCCAGTTTGAATGCATCAAGATATGGAATTCCACATGAAAGGCCATCACGGCCTTACAAATACATTAACAAATATACACACGTACGAGCAACAATACAATACATCATGTGATGCTTCGAAGCAGCCAAGGCCTCAGCACGTCATGATCTGATGGCAGACCCTACCTCTGTGAAGCCCCAAGTCATCGACTTCAACGAGTAGCTTGCTAGACTACATACGTACACATATACAGCTTAGTTACATTATTTTTATGCGACCAAATAATGATATGATGCTATACCGCTACTATGCACTATGGTGGGTGGGGTGGGCTAACCAGTACTATATGCTAACCAATACTTACAGCTAGCAATAGTGCAAACCCTATACAGACACATATCACCATCACCGATCCAGGATTATTCTCGAGGGAAGGAAAGGTCCAAAACCGTCTTCTTTCACCGGCGTTTCATCCTCACAGGCAACCAATCTCAGAGTACAGCTGCTCAAATTCTTACACCTGACCTTCAGCTGCTCAAGGCTCCTGGCAAACACCTGCTCCACCCACGTCCGCACAGGCCTCTTCTCATGTGAATCAGATGCCCATGCCGCTGCCACTACTTGCTCCATAGCCACAGCGTCGATCTTCAGCCTGCACCTAGAGCCCAGAGTCTTGCTCATAGTACTGCTAAACTCCTGCAGGATGTCCTCACAAAGTTTGCCAAAGTCAAATGGCTTGAAATTGATTGACTCGTCCACTGATCGTAAGAGGCTGCCCACAGATCCCTCTGGATCATCGGATGAGTTCTCATGGCTGCTACTGCTGTCGTCGTCACCATCCTGGGCTTCGGCATCGTCGCCTGGGAGGTTCAAGTCGAATGGAACACTTGATGTTCTATGCAGTCGCTTGGAAGTGCTCGGCGATTCTGCTGTCTTTTCTTGCCCATCGGAGATGTGGAGCTTCCGCTTACTGAAAGGACTGGAGTACAAAGATGCTTGACAGTTTCTCAAGGAATGCCTTGAGGAAACTACAACTTTGCCTCCAGGGCCTCCACTGATGTTGGCTGTGCCCGGCTCAACTATGATCTTCAGTTGATTTCCACGAGCTGCCACAACCTTTTCTTCTGAAAAAGCATTGCCCTCTTCCATCCCAACAGAGGCATCTCGACATCCTTGGATCATTCTTGTAGACAACACCACAATCGAGTCATTAAGGTCAGACACCCGTCCCCCATGCAAGTCTTTGTACCTGCCAGTCTCCATGGCATGAATCAGGCTCTCCTGAACAAGGCAGTCAGCTTTGTCAACATTGTCAAGGAAGATAACTGATCGCTGCTTCCTTCTCAACTCTTCAGAGATACAGTCGGTGGCACGCTTTCCTCTGAAATTGGGGTTACCCCAGTCATGGAGGCTTAGGTCCAGATATATCAGGTTCTCTGAGCTACCATGCATCAGCTCAGCAAGTGCCATACCAACTCTCCGCTTGGCAATGCTATCCGGGCCATAAAAACTAAACCATATGTCATTCTTCTTGTTTGCACCACGACGCCTCTCCATTGACCTGCACCGCACAATGGATGCACAAATAGCACTCAAGGCTTCCTCCTGCCTCCCAACAGCCTTAAACAGTCGTTCCATGAGTAGCTTGTAATTGCTCAAATCAAAACTTTGTGCTGCGAGGGGTGAAGGCCTCTGCCATTGGCCAAAGGCAGAAGCACCTCCTGAAGCTGCTGAATGCAGAGCACTAGGTGAAGTTTGATCCCAATTTGAGGAACTCCTGAAGCAAGTGTAAGGCTGTACAGAGAAGTGAGGAGGCTTAAGATTCAGATCATCAACCTTCTTGGGCATCAGCTGGATCGACCCTTCAGCATCCTTTACATGTTTACACAGTGCAATACTTGAATCCTTGGAAGAAGATCCGCGAGGGGTGGCCAACACCAAGTCAGTGGCCACAGGTGCAGCAGATGATGGTGACGCATGATCTTCAGGGTTGTCACAATTTGATGAGTTGCTATGTTGGGATGGCACGGCCCTATCTTGGAGGGGTTCATCACTCTTTGATTGCCTGACTTGCAGGTTCAATACAAGGTCTGCATTCATTTGGGTGGAAATAGATGGTGCCGAAATACTCTTTGCAGTTGTGTTGGTATGTGGAGAAGACACTGCAGAAGGTCTAATAACCTCCCTTTGAAGTGCAACTGACTGTGTACTTTGGTTTGAATTTGCACATCTTTCCCTGTCAACCCGAACATCAATGGGATGTGGAAATAATTGGCAAGGATCTCTGTTGATCCTATTGCAACCTTGGTGGAGTCGTAGGCAGTACTCATTCCACTTCTTCTTCAGATTCTGTATTTTTGTCCTCAATACCATCTGATCATCTCTAACCTGCACTGAAGAAAAACTGTACATCTTTTATACCAATCAAATCCAAAAGTATTCATCTATCAGCAAGTTGTACAAGTAGTATTCACTATTTAACTTCAAAATTCTAGAAGATAGAAGTAGCCTCACACCTGGAGTGCATCAAACCCATTGTTAGGACCCATCATGCTGCCATTCTGCAGCATGGAAGGTAGACCTTCTTGGTGAGCTTCAGCTGTAATGCCACTTCCTCTAATGATAGTTGCAACTTCTTGCTCATATCTATCATTGCACTGTTGACATCGCAGGGCCTGAGGGCAGGAATTTGGTGTGAGGCTATTTGCTTCATAGGTATCACACATAAAACCTCCAAAAGGAACAAACGACTCCATGAAGCTGCAAAATTACAAGTTTGAACTGTTAGATTATATCCTACCGATGCTAATGAGCATAACATGAAAATCATAAACAGGAGCCATCTGGTGGCTTTGTCACATTAAACTCGTGGTGACAAGCAGACACAAAAGAAACGTTCGTCCTAGTTCTTGTGATAGACTAAGCACAGCAATCGCCGCACATGGATGCTATGCGGCTAATCAAATCTTACGCACAATAAATAAATAAAAATAAAATAAACAAGTGATCCGGCGATGGATAAAAAAGGAGTACCTTGTAGTGGCAGGCATGGACAAGGCAGCGACCGTGGTGGCTGGAGCTGGAGGAGGCACGAGTACGGGTGCAGGGCCGGCGTCGCGCACGGCGGTGATTGGCAGCAGCTGGAGTTCCCAGTCCTTGTCGACGAGCGGGAACTTGGAAAGGAAGGCGAGGTAGGTCTCGTAGGTGGCCGACCAGCCCATGACCCAGACGGTCTGGCGGCCGGCAGCTCTGTGCGTCTCGAGCAGGCGCGTGACCTCCGCCACCACCCGGCGAGCCGCGTCCTGCAGGTCGGCCTCGTCGGGCACGAGTTCCTTGAGGTCACCGATGCTGAAGATGAGGCCAGAGCCGGGCGTCGTCGGTGCCGCCGCGACGGTGAGGAGGTCCGTTTGATGATTGACGGGGAGGACGCGGTACGGGGACGCCTCGGCGAAGTCAGCGGCGGCAGACGCGGCCCCGACGCCGACGAGTATGGGGTTGCGGCCGCGCGCGAGGATGTCGGTGATGCGGCGGCAGTTGTCCTCCCCCGGGGCGGCCCCCGCGAGCGCGGGCGCGGGCGAGGGGACGTCGGCGTCGCCTGCGGCCGCGAAGCTGCAGAGGAAGAGCGGCGGCGGGCGGGCGCGCGTGGGGAGGCCGCGGCCGAGCAGCGGGACGGCCGGCGCGGGGCGGAGGATGGCGACCTTGATCTCGTTGCTGCGGAAGCCCGCGTCGGCGAAGACCCGGCTGACGAGCGGGTCGTCGAGGATGGCGAGGACGAGGTGGGAGAGGTCGACCTTGACGGCGTTGGGGGAGGTGGCCGACGCGCCCGCCGCCTGGTGGTGGTGGTAGAAGTGGAACGTGTCCGGGTTGCGCCGCTGGTTGGCCTGCGAGCGCTTGATGGCCGCCATGAGGGAGTTGGCGACGGGGGGCTCGTGCTGGTCATTGCTGCTGCTGTAGGCGGAGGCGGAGGTGGGGGTGGGGGTGGAGGGGAGGCGGTCGAGGGAGACGGCGAAGCAGAGGTCGAGCGCCTTGAGCTGGAGGCGCGGCGAGTAGGCGGCGCTGCGGGCGCGGGCGAGCGCGTCGCGGAGCAGCGGCGCGGCGGTCGGGGCGAGCAGCGAGGCGATGAGGTGGAGGGAGGTGGTCTGCGCGTGCGCCCGGCGGCGCGCGGAGGCGACGGCGGCGTCGAGGGCCGTGACGGCGGCCGGGGCGAGGCACTGCCGCGCGGCGGGCACCGGCGTCGGCATGGCGGCCTGGCGGGGGGTTGGACTGGGATTAGATTTGACCGAGCATGGGGGCCAAGTGTAAAAATGAGAGGAGTGAAACGGGAAATAACGGCAAGGCAGAGGGTGGCTGCGCAAAAAGGTGGAGGCTGCCCTGCCGTTGTTCCTTGCTCCAGTCCAGTCCAGTCCAGTTGGGAATGGGAAGCGTGGGGAAGGGGGGCAGGTGCTGCTGCCGTATTTTATATCTCCACCATTTTCTATTCATCTTTTATTCTTGTTTTCTCGTTTTTTAGTGGAAAAAGAAAAAAAGAAATAAATAATTTTGCCTTTTTCTTTTGCTGGGGGCGCAGAAGGCTGCTGCCGATGCTTTTGGGAGATGTCGTTGATGCTGCTGATGTGGGCCCCACGGGTCACTCAGGACAAGCACTGCACACTGCAGCTTTGGTGTCCTCTTTTGGGCAGTGGGCCCAACGCACCTGGTGTTCGTATTCGTGGGAAATTCGGTGGAGAGCACCGCACCTCGCTTTTGCTCTGTTCTTTCTTGCACTGTGAGGGACTCTGAAAAGATCGGCACACAGATCCTCTCCACAGTTGCAACACGTACACAGCGCCCAGTTCCTTCAACACAACCACATGTTTCCACCCACCGTTGGAAAGTTGATTCGGAGAACATATCACGCATGTAGAAGTAAGAGTAACATGGATATAATAACTTTATGCGCCAAATATTAGTACGCAACTACCCAATATCGTGTTGATGTGGCTCTTACCCAATTCACATAAGATTGTACTCCAAGCATGCAATGATACTAGTGACACTCCAATGTAATTTAGTTGTATCTCTCTGCTCTACATGCTTTGTTGCTGGTAATATACCGCTTTCGTATCTTGATTGAAAGTTACGTAACAATTCTTTTCCTTTGGGGTGAATTTTTTTTCCCGAATACAAGTTGTTATTCTTTTAGTATTGTCTTAACTTTGAAAAGTAGACCTCTCGACTTTAGTAAGATATAGACACGTATGTTAGTCTTAGTATCACGGTACACATGTGTTTGGTTGTTGTAAAGATGTGTATCCAAATATATCAACATGTATAGACAACACTTTATTAAAATATAACTGTATTAACTCTAGTCAATTCAACGACTACGTACGTACGTACGTACATCTTATCTTTCCTTAGCCAAGGACGTCTTTAGTGAGTGGACGTAGCAATAATGCAGTGTATGTGGTGCCAGCCCTGGGGGAGCGCTTGGTGGGTGTGGGGGGCCACAAGATAGTGAACGTGAAAGGGCAAACAAGTGGTGCGGTGGCTGCTGCTGACTGGAGTGCTTGTTGTCGTTGCTGTGCTCGACTTTTGTCCGAAAGGCGCCCTGGCCCTTTTCACGGATAAGCATCCTTTTGTCTTTTCCTTTTATTCCTACCACTTAATAGCATGTCGAATAATCTAGAGACAAAGTAAGTGTATAGACAAAAGCCTCACCTAGATTACCTAATTTTTTTTAGTTGTAATAGCTAGAGCAAACTATCTAATTTTTTTTTTAATTTGGGTGATTAAACATTTAAAAATAGGCTATAACTGAACTAGATATTTAGTTTTTATTATATTATGTATTTAGATACAGTCTATATCTAGGTGCATAGCAAAACAATATATTTAAAAAATCAAAATCATTTATAATTTAAAATGGAGGGGTAGTAATTTATTTTAATCAATCTAAACAGGGTCATTTATAGTAGGCTAAGCTCAAAACGTATCTCTGTGGACCCCAACACGATCTATCATATGTAGCACACCAGCATAGAAGATATCATCACCATTGAGGCATTGACAGGTACAACTCATCTATCCTTCAGGACAAAACCTATACTATTTGCTTATTAATTGTGTGCAATACAACTGCTAACCAATCACATCTAAGGGCACATATTCTTCACTTAATCCAAACATTTTAACCAATCTAAACAGGGTCATATATGGACAGGCTAAACTCAAAACGTATCTCTATGGGCCCTACACGATCTATCGTAATGTAGCACCGTCACAGAACATATCATCACCATTGATAACTACCACTCATCCATCCATCCCGACAAAACTTAAACTATTTGCTTATTATTGTGTGCAATACAACTAGTAACCATGCAATCACATTTAAGGGAAACATATTCTTCAATTAATCCATCAAAAACAAACTATTTGCCTTATTGTTTTTACTCCTTGCAATCATTTAAATATTCTGCAATTAATGGTCTTGGGTTTTTCCTTGCATCATCTGGATTGTGCATATGGTCTTTATTTCAACTAGTCATGGAACGAAGAGTCTAAAAACACAACCACTCATGCATGGAAGGAATATGTAGTGCAAGCATCTCTACTATGTATATATTTGTGCTCATCAATCAATAGCATCATGTATGCAATTCTGTTCGCTTCAACTTATCAGCCTGACTTATCAGCTATCATATAGTATTTTTCTCTCACAATAAATCAGCAAACAATACTTTTCAGCTTGACTTTTCAGCTGGAGTGAACAGGGAAATGCACAGCACAGGGGACAGGGACCTACTTTCTAGTCATTATTATCAGGACGATGCGATGCAATGCATGGCACACCACCACTGCAAATTGCAAATAGCAAAAAGATTGGAGTTGGACGTGCACCAGCATCCGGCAGGAAGCTATGTCGACCGGTGGATGTTGCGTTGCGTGTCCACCTGGCCAACCACCATCCATTCCAATATGCTTTGTGCGCGCGCTTGTCAACTTGTGTGCTTTCCATGGATCCCGATCCTTCCTTTCACTGATAAAAATGCAAGACACACCATGCATTCTTTTGCTGTTGCTTTCGTCCACACAATTATTCTCTTCTCTTGGTCATAGTTAAATAATGTTATTCTACAATAATGACTATTAGCTTGTTGGTGAACAAAGTTGTATTATTATTGCCACGCAACGCAACACACTTTGCTATTATGTATATTAAAGCTACTATACTAGATAGATATAGATAAACCATGCATGCATTTTAATAATTTCTTTGTTCCTTTGATGACACACAAAAGCACTAGCTATGTGTACATCAGTGTTCACCTAAACGGCCCAGTAAACGGTAAATGGTGGTAAACTGTTTTGTTTAGGGGGTAAACGAAAATTAAACGGTTGACCGTTTAAACGGTCAAAAAAACGGAAAAAACGGTCTCAACGTCCTAAACGGAACGGAGATAAACAACATTAAACGGGCTAAACAATGTTTAAACGGTTGTTTAGGCAAACACGAGGTAAATCTAGTTCGGTTTTGTATGAATAAATTTGTATACTTAAGTTTATTATATTTATAAATATGTACACTTGATATGTTACATGCATAAATATCTATATTTGGTTCTTTTCACATGCATAAATATATATACATACTAAAATAATTGATTTTTACTTGGATAAATATGTATAAATGTTAGAATACTTGATTTTTTATATGCACATATATAATTATATGTATTTTTTTAAGTACAAAACCGTTTAGACCGTTTAACTTCGTTTAAACACCGTGTAAACAGCCTAAACGCTAAACGAAGGGCGACCGTGTAAAAACCGTTTACCGTTTAGGAAAACATTGGTGTATATATCGTGCCTATGCACTTATTTCTTACATACACACGTCAACAGAAAGAAGAAGAAAAGATCTTTAACAACTTGACCAATCGATCACGGACAATCCCTTTTGGTCAAAATCAATTGCATAAAGATAAAGACGATAGGTGGCCTCATAAAAATAAAAACAAAAACTCAATTGGTGGGTCGGAAAAAGAAATGGCCAACTTCCATCAATATTACACCACAAACATCAAACTCACATCCTTACGATCCAAAAGCTGTCAAAAGTGACATATGGGCCCCCCACCTCCACATAGTACTTCAAATAATTATTCTCACATACTCTTCCAAAATAGCATTGGATTATACTGGTAAAAATATCCATGCTTTGCCCAAATTATAGACATTGTAGACTAATGTTCATTGCTGATTATTATTAAGATAGAAAATGGACTATATATATATTCTTTCATTCATGTGACACAAATACTTCCAAGTTTAATTATTGTGTGTTGTTGCATGTTAATGTTAATTAGAAGAATGTATTATTATTGGGGCGTGCCCCGCCTATGGGCACCTTGTGTGGCTCAATCACCGTCCTGGTTCCTCGCAAGAGTGAAATAACGGGAGTTGGACTCTGGCGCACTCAGCATTTCGCTATAATAACAGGCGAGAAGGCTGACCATGGGCAAAGACAAGGATGTGTCAAGCCCCCTTCTCGCCGTAGCGAAGCAAGGCGGCGCTTGCTATCCCATTCTTAGAATTCCCTTCTTGCTATGGCGAGAGGGTGGACTCTGCGGCCGAGATCAGGTTCCGCCAAAGGACAACGCGTAGTTGGTCTTGGCTATTCGCTTAGGCGAATAGCCATTAACGGTTTGGCGATCGTTTCTGCAGGTTCCGCTAAAGGAGGACGCATAGTCGGTCTTGGCTATTCACTCAGGCGAATAGCCATTAACAATTTGGTCGATTGTTTCTACAAGTTCCACCAAAGGAGGGCGCGCAGGCGGTCTTAGCTATTCGCTCAGGCGAATAGCTATTAATGGTTTGGACGATAGTTTCTGTAGGTTTCGCCAAAGGAGGAACTGCCTGCCTTCGCACGACCGACAGCTTTTGTCGCTAGGCCCCCCCACGATTGGTTGGGCGGGCGACATAAGGTGGAGCCGGTCGGGCCTCCTCGGGCCGGCGTTATCCAAGGAAGGCGGGCACTTCAAATGGCGAACAAGCCCAAGGCTGCGTAGAATATTCCCCAAATTTGTAGTAGTTGAGAGGGCATTTACGTCCTATGAGAGGCCTACGGGCATGTATAAATAGCCCCCGCTGAGGGATTGTAAAGGGAGGAGAAGAACAAGTTCGATGAAATCGTTCATCTTGTTTCACTCAAGTCTTGTTTTATCCACTTCTCGTGCTTGATTTCGCTTGAGTGGCA